GAGAGAGAGAGAGAGAGAGAGAGAGATCATTCAGAGATTCAGAGAGAGAGAGAGAGCGGAGCTTGGCATGCGGATGAGCGCGAGTCAAATGGCGGTGAGTGTGTGGGAGGCGGGACGCGAGAGAGGCGGAAGGGGGGAAGGAGGGGGGGGAAAGGGGGGTCCATCCTGGGGGCAAGGGGTGCGGGGTCATTGGTTAGCCTAGAGGGTGGACGTGGGTGTGTTGTGTGAAGGGGGCTGATGCCGGTGGTGTGTGTTCTTGGGTAGCCGATCACCATGGATCGTCGGATGGCAAGTTGAGAGCCAGGCCGTCAGCTGCCCTGCCCTTGCCCTTGCCCTTGCCTCGGACTGGTCGAGGCGTTGTCGGTGAGCCGGCTCGGGTCACCAGCAGGGATGGGGGCCGTCTCGGAGGAAGACTTGCGATATGGCAACTTGGTAGTCGGGGTACTGGGTGCGACGTTGATGCTGGTGGGCCTGTTTGCCACCTTGTATCATCGACAAATCCAGCGCTGGCGCGATGGCCGCTTTCGGCTCGATGACACCCACCCGCTACACATGCTGGCCATCAAGACCTTTTGCGATGGAGCCGTCACCATCAATCGCCTGGCCGCGGCCATTGCCAGCTACCACGGTAGCTTGCACGCCTTTTGCCCAGCCTACGTCATTGTTGAGGACTTTGTCACCAATGCCTCCTTCACCTGGCTGCTCTTGGTTGGTCTTCAAACTCCTCCCCGACACTTGGTTGCTCGTGGCGGACGTGCGTGCATGTCTTTGGCTGGCTCACACATCCCACGTCTGCGCTCTCCGGTCCGCATGTTTGCTGGCGCCGCGTAGCTGGCGCTCGACCTCTATGTGACGCTGCGCAATCCCTTCACGTCACCTGGCCGGGCGTATCCCTTTTATCACCTTCTGGCTTGGGGCGTGGCAGCAGGAGCCGTCGGGCTCCTCACGGTGGCGGTGGGCGATGCTCGCCTGATTGACGTCGATGCCTCCGTCTCCTCCCTGTGTCACTATTACGCCGAGCACCGCAGCGACGAGCCTGTCCACGGGCCCAACGCAACCACGACAAGGACACCGCCGCTGTTCTCCGAGTCGCATCACGGCATGGCCAATCAGCCCCTCGTCACACAGATCTTTCGAGCCGCTCCCATCATGTTTCTCATTAGCTTGATGGGCTCATTGATAGTGCTGGTCAAAGTGACGCTGCTCTTTCACAACAACCCACCCCGTCATCGCGATGCTCGTGTTCGAACCTTGCGCGCCGGTGTGCACTACGTCTTTGCCTACGGCCTGCACGGCCTCGGTCTCACGGCCGTGCTCGTCATTGCTCTCCACCAACACATCGCCAACGGCCATCACAGCATGATCCTCGTGGCCAGTGAACTCGGCCTCTGGACCCTGCTTCTCTTTATCGACATCGCCTTGATTCTGCGCACCATCATGCCCGATCGGTACCTCCGCAACGATGAGAAGACCCCGCTGCTCAGCTCCGTGCACGTCATCAACGGCGAAGAGATTAGCTTTCTTCACTCGGTGCACCACTCCCTTCGTGATGATACCGTCTTTTGCTGCATCTATGGCATGGTGGCCTCGCTCGACGCCACGGCCTCGGAGCTGCCTGCCCCCGTAACCCGGCGCCTTGTCAGCCTCCCTTCGGCCCACGGGCGGCAATTTGAGTTTATCGACTACGAGGCGCATCTTTTTGCCGCCCTCCGCGAGCTACATCCTCTTTCCTCGGATGGTAAGCGCGTCTCTCGCGTGGCTGCTCGTTAGCTGCCGCCGCAGCTCTTTCTCTTGGCCTCTCATGTCTCGCGATTTGCTTTGTGCTACCTCGCCTGCCGTCAGAATACCGGCAGTCGCTCTGGGGTGACGAGCGCGATCGTGACGTTCCGCCCATGGTGCAGTTTGTCAGCCGGGGCGGTCAGTCTGGAGCCTTTTTCTTCAAGTCCTACGACAGCAGGTGCGACACCCTAGCGAACATCAGCGCATGCGCGCGCTCTCATTTGCAAAGCGATATGCCAATACACACGTACCTCGACACCCGCTCTTCCTTCGTAGGCTCATCGTCAAGACGGTCTCGATTGAAGAGCGCGATGGCCTTGTCAAACTTCTGCCAGCTTATCATGCCCACCTGGCCGATAATCCGACAAGCCTGCTGACTCGATACTGTGGCTTGTACGGCATTCGCATATCCCGTGAGCAGCGTGTCATCTACTTTGTAGTGCAGGTGTGACTTGTCATCCCACGCTCAAGCCATGGTGCTCCCTATCCCATTTGTGGGGAGGCGCTTCCGTGAATATCTCATTTGCACATGCCATGCTTGCCCCAGCTCAACGTGGAACATCCATCACACTTGGCTGCTGCGACGCATTTTGCATTTGACCTCAAGGGCAGCACTCACAATCGCAGCGTCGCGCCTGCCGGCCGTTTGCCCTGTCCCTCTGATCGCACTCACGTGGGGCAAAAGTTTCGAGACAACGATTTGGGCCTGCCCTTGGAGCTCAGCATTGAGGCCTACACACACCTCTCCGTGAACCTGGCCTTGGACGCGGCTTTTCTCCATACTCACTCCTTGATTGACTACAGTCTACTAGTGGCAGTGCATGTGTGTCGTCCCGATTGCCTGCACAGCCATCCCATGGCAGCAGGCGCTGCTGCCTTACGCCTTCGCTATGGCCAGCCTGCCGTCTGGGACTGCCACCAGGTCATTCTCAATGTTGGAATCATTGATCTCCTCCAAGTATGTGCTCGGTGGCCAGCATGCCCGTACGTCGTGTCTCCCCGACGCTGCCCTGTCACTCACGTGCTCCGTGGGTCGGCTTCAGCCGTATTCTAGAGCCAAACGGCTGGAGCGGTGGTTCAAGACAAAAATCCTGCGTGTTGATCCCCAGGGCCTGAGCGTCTCTCCCCCCGATGCCTACGCCGATCGTTTCATATTCAGAATTTTGCGGCATCATTTCAGGGTTTTGTGGCCCAAGGCCTCAACACCGGCAGCTCAAAACAGAGTAGCGCGCCCCATGAGTCCCCTCACTCACCTCAGCCAATCTAGCGAGGACCTTCTTCTCGCCGGCGAGCTGTAGATAGCGTTTTTCCACGGTTGTCTTGGTCACCAAGCCTCTCTGCTTTGCGACCTCAGGCGCCGCGAAGTTTGTTTAATCGTTTAGTGGCTCTCCGAGCCTTCGTTAGCCGAGTACAAGTACATTCAGAATTCACAACGAATGTGTACACGTAAATTCGATAAAATCAACTTTGCAAGACTCGGGTCAAAGAAGAAGAACGGCTCCCACCACGCAGTGGTGGGATTTGAGAAAAGAAACAAACAGCACAAAACTGATGCACAGATGAAGAGTGTTCATGCAGCAACCACAATCATGCGACCTAAAAAAAATGAGAAGCAGAACGAAACGGCGCCAATCCAGAAAAAAAAAAAAAGAAAGAAACAATCCAAAGCTGGTCGTTGAGGCCTGGCCACGGGCACTAGTAGCCATCCAGATCCACGGGATCGGGGGGCATAATACTGAGGCGGTCTAGTAGCTTCTCAAAAGCACCCAGGCTCAGACGGCGAGCGCGGGCGTACAGGTCATGCTGCATGTCAAGCAGGTACTGATAGGTGTATTCCAGCGCGGCGGTTTCTCGAATCATCAAAAGGGCCTAAGGGATGGATGAAGAGGATGGATTCAGTGGGGGTATCAAACCGGCCAAGGACGGTGAGCAAAGGCGACGTCAGCAGCGCAGAGCAGTGCCAAAGGGCCGATCGCGGGACAAGGGGGACCGTACGTGGCGAATTTCAGTGTTCTTAAGCTCGTCTTCACGAGCATAAAGGTCGAGCAGCTCGCGGTAGCGGCCCAGCCGATTCTGCACCATGTAGATGATGGGGAAGGAGAACTTGCGCTCATGAATATCATCGCAAAATCCCTTTTTGGCCCAGTAAGCTGGGTCGACCAAGTTGATGTAGTCATCACGAATCTGCAGCAAGAACGTTCAGTACGACCAAGGGTCAGCAACACAAAATGTAGTGGGGCGTGTCTGTCAAAAAGGAGGCGACGAGTGCATGAAGGCCGAAGCATGTCATTTACCTGAAAGAAGATGCCAGTAATGTCAAATAGCTCGAGGATTTGCTGTTGCGGGGATTTCCAGACCCAGCCGAGGCTTTCGGTCCATTTGCCGCCAAACTACAGCCATTTGGAGCAAGTCAGTGCGCGCGGACTCTTTGACCCGAAACATGCCTGCATGTTCACGCACCAAAAAGTGTAGCCAGGACATGTTGTGGGTAATGGCTTTGAGGATGGGTTCAAAAAAGTTGAAGGCACGCAGGCGATAGTCAGTCGCATGCAGGAAGAAAAGCTCGGCCGACATGACAAACGGCGTCGACGTTTTGCCCTAAACCAATGTGAAAGTGATGCGCGGGGCGGCAAGGCGTGTAAGCTAGCTGAGGGCATAAGCAATGCGCACTGGGTCAGGCGCGCATACTCACTTGCACCATCTCAATGTACTCGTCCAAGGTGGGGCAATATTTGTTGTCGCGCCAATAGATTTCAAGACCTTGGCCACGGTGGGCGCGAACGCTGCCGTCGACGAGAGCGGTGAGCGTTTCGTGGTGGTGGGCTTGGAAGCGCTCAGGCACGCTTTGGATGAGCTTGAAAAAGAGGAGGTAGGTGCTGTTCATGGCGGCTGGGATGCCAAAGCGAATGTGGGCGCATTCCCGATCGCGGCGAAGCGTCGAGTCGTCCTCGATATCGTCGGCGATGAGGGAAAGCTCGTGGAAGCGGTCGACGCACTGCTTGAGCTGCTGGAGATCGCAGTCGTCAATCTCAAAGACGTCAGCGAGAGCTTGGATGGATTTGCTGCG